ATGGAACACAGAGAGGTTTGCTAAGACTGTTGTCTGCTAGCTGCTTGCTAATGGGGATAGAATTTGTATGTTGCACTGGCCCAGCATGGTAGCCTGGCAACTGGGGACCTTGCCTTGAAAGCACTGGGATCCCGTATGAGCTCTGGTTCTAGTCCTAGCAGCTCCACTTCCCATCCAGCTCCCTGCTTTGTGGCCTGGGAAAGCAGTTGAGGACGGCCCAAAGCCTTGGGACCCTGCACCTGCGTGGGAGACCCAGAGGGGCTCCAGGCTCCTAGCTTCAGTTTGGCACAGCTCCGGCCATTACAGCTGCTTGGGGAGTGAATCAGAAGATGAAATATCTTTGTCTCTGTCTCTCCTCTCTGTATATATGACTTTCCAATAAAGATAAGATAAATCTTAAAAAAAAAGAAAAAGAAGAAAAAGAAAAGAATGTGTATGTAGCTTAATGCTCCTTATCCCTGTCAGCTCTTTTGTGTGAATTATTGCCTGATAACCTGCTGGAACTGCTTTCCACATTCTTCTCATACCCAGTTATGAAGGGAGCCCTGCCCCTGGTGCTGTCAGAGGCATATACGTGTAAATGATGTGCCTGGCTGAGGGAACAGCAGTTCGAGGGGGATAGCCTTGTGTATGCCACGTATCAGCTTTAGAGGCACATCTGCCCACCTTCTGAGAGCAGAGGACCAGAGAGAGCTAGCCTGGGACTCACTCTCATACAGGATCCCTAGCATGTTGCTGTGTACATGATTCTCTGGTTTTATACATTCACACACATGTACGTCTGTCTCAACTATTTTTAAGGCATTGAATATCCACCATGAGCCTCAGGACTGTTTTATGCTGAGTAATTAAAGGGTTGTTAGTAGTGGGGATTATAACACTATACAAGCACTTCTCAAGTCGCCACACATGGAAGGCATTTGATTGCCAAATTATAAACTGCCACACAATGGGTGGTTATGGTAGCTGTGATGACATTAAACAACAAAATGAGTTATAATCAACCACATCATCAAGATAAAAAATAGCACCCTTGTTTCACAGAATCACACTTCTGCCTCACACTTTGTAGGGCATTATTTTAGGCTTACAAACATAAGGCAAGGAAACGTATACAGTGAAAGAGAAATTGCTATTTGCTGGTTTGGAAATGTGTTTGGCCTTAGAATAAAGAAATGAATCGAAATGTATCGCATAACCTTATGGCACCCAAGCTTAAACATAATTTTCATGAGTCACAATTTCCCAATGCCTGAGTAGCTCATACATGTCAAAGTGTGTGGGGGGTTATCTTTGCCCTGCCTGTTGGGCTCTTGAGTGGTTAGACACCTCTAGCAGACCTGACAGCGTAGGTGGTACTGCCTTGTGCCTATTCTGCTAGAGAACTCTTGGCTGCAGGCACACCGACCAGCTTTCCACCTGCACTTTATTCCCTGACTTCTCTGTTCACTGGTTAGCTGGTTGGACCCCAGGTTGTTTGTTTGTTTGTTTGTTTTTCCCTGTTCTGCACCCTCTGCCCCTGCCGTGCTAGTACAGCAGGGGCGGACTCCAGTCTAGCTCCACATCTGACCAGCTTGAAATAGTATGTCAGTTCCTTTGTTAGATGGATGAGGATTATAGAAGTGCAATGTGCTAACATCGGTGATGTCATGGCACTAGCTAATTGCTTCATAAATATGGCATTGCTGTTGATGTTGCTCTACCAGCAAGCCCTGGTAGCGAGTGTTCATAGAATCAGTACTTGATGGTTCATATTCACAAAAATATTTTTGAAGCCAGAAGTGGCAGACCTACATCTATCTGTAAGTCTAGATACAACAGGCTCCCTCCTTCAGCAGGAGACAGAAATGGAAACTCAGAAAAACCCCATTGCACTTACCTTCTCCTGACTGCTCAGCAGGTTTGTTTTATAATTTCCTGTTTTCCTAAGTTGATTCCAACAACTGCAGGGAGCAAATGGCTTATTTTCATAAATTATCTTATACAACATTGCCTACTCACAGGCAGAAACGGTTGAAGTTACATTGCTATCCAAAATCTGTCTTGGTCTCTTTAATCAGAGAGTCTGAAATCCTGCCTGTGGTCCCTGAAGCCCAGCACAGCTTCTGGGCTGACAGATTGCAATGCGAGCAGAACTGCTTCCCTTTTTGCCTAATCAGTTCATTTGAAAGTCAGACAACCAGCGTATGAACTACAGTTATATTTGAGTGCAAGTGACTGAAAACTCTAAATAAAGGGGTTTAAAAGAGAGAGGAGTTCATTCATCCTTCACATAAATGTAGCTAGTCAAGGGCTGCTAGAATATGATCATCAGGGCACCAAATTGTGTTTCAGTCCTTAAGTTGGGACCTTGACCCCATGATCGACCATGGCAGAATTGTCGGTGCCCAATTCTATAGCAAGCTAAAAGTGGAGACATGTGGAACACTTGGAGGAACACTGGGTCCTAAGCAGTGCACTTCACAGAGTATAACTCCACATTGTCCATTTTTCATGCTTTGACCAGAATTTAGTCATCAAACATAACTGCCAAGGAGGCTGAGAAGTGTATTGTTTCAGAGGGTCCATCCAGCTTCCGTCTGTTGGTTTACTCCTGGAATTCCTGCACCAACCAGAGCTGGGCCAACCCAAAAAACCTGTAACCTAGACATCAAGCTCAATCTAAGCACCCCACATGGATGGCAGGAGCCCAGGTCCTTAGGCCGTTACCTGCTGCTTCCTAAGAAGCTGGAACAGGGCGTGGATCAAGACTCCAACCCAAGCAGTGTCTTTAAGTACCTGCCCTAGTTTCCCTTTTTAAGTCTACTATGGAAACAGTATCCGTCTGAAATCTGACAGTGTGTCATGGGTACTTCCTAAAGCAGCTATAACTAGGCTCATATTTAAAGTTTTATATCCATTCATGCTGTTGGAACCTTAAAATATGACTTTCCCCCTGAGCTAATATAACTTTCTAATATATAGTAAAAATAAAATCATGCAACTGAGCGTCAACTAGGCACAATGAGGTACAAACAGGAAGGCTCTTGCCCCGCCCTATAGCCTCCTAGGCCCCTCACCCAACACATGCCATTTGGGACAGCAGTGATAGATGATGCAAATATCACAGCAGCCATGGTCTGCCCGCTTCCTGAGGGTTCCCAGGTTTACCACAAGCTGATGCAGTAACTTGAGTGCCCAATTTCAGTAGACCCCTCCTGGACCCCTACAGAGAGAACTTGGCCACTGCTCGCTGTGCATTGTCCCTCCAGCTGTGAATGGCTCTACCTTGGGACTACCACAGTAGCATGAGGTTGGCAAACATCTTCTGCAAGCTCAGCAGAGCTCTGTAGGGGTACAGGCAGCTCCATGGTTTTGAACACCCCCCCACCACCAGAACTGCAAGAATATTTATTCTCCCAACTATCATTGCCTTTCTTTGTCCCTCATCTCGTTTACTGTGGCTTCGAAATTCCAGGGCTGTCAACACCTCTGGCCATTGCCACTGCTTCTGCTGCCCTTCGTCCACTGTCCTTTTCTCATTGAGCTGCTTTTCCTCGTGAACTAGAGTGTATTTTCCTGATCTGGGCGTATAGGAGGCACAATGAAAATGTAGGCCCAGGAGCTCCTTAATGGCAGCACAAAGTATTTTCTTTCCTCCTGGTCCTCACCCCGCGCCCACCCCTGCCTTTCACTCCCCAGGTCAGTGCCTTGCTGATTGCCTGAGCTAGTCTGATGCTTCTGTGTGAGTGAGGCTGCACTGCTGGGTAAGGTGGTATCCTGCAGGATAGTACTGTTGGATGGATTCTGAAGTATCATGTAGGATGTATCTGTATGAAATACCACTCTGAGAAGTATGATTTGGAGAAATCAGCATGCCCTTAAAATAGCCCATCATGTGGCAGACTGCTTATAACCAAGAGGAATGCATCTCCTCATTTATATCCAAAAGGATTTACTATAACTAAAAAACAAATAGTATAATGCACAAATATGTATATGTATGTATGGTGTGTGTATATATGTATATAAGCATGCAGATTGGCAATTCAGTAGTTACAGGCGATTTTCTGGGAGAGTTTGAACCAGAAAGCTCCTAAAATACACAACACACACAAATTCACTCCAGGGGTGAGTGGGGGGAGGTGCTCCCCAGCAGACCAGTAGAGTCCGATGAGACACATGAGGGTTTTGCTTTTTGGAGGAGAAAGATCACTGCATATTGTAGACCATTTGCACAATATTCTGTTTCTGGAGTAAGTCATTTAACTCCTGTAGAGGCAGGCCTTTGGTGCTGCTTGGGTCACACCCATCCCGTGTGAGAGTGCTTCAGGTTCTGGCTCGGCTGCGACTCCAGCTTCCTGCTAATGCACACTCGGGAAGAACGCAGGTGATGATCAAGTGCTCGAGTCAGTGCCACCGCATGAGACACCTAGATGGAGTCCTCCAGTGTAGTGTGGTCTGGCCCAGCTGTTATGGCATCTGCGGAGTGAACCCATGAATGGAGAGCTCTGCCTCTGACTCGCAAAGAAACGAAAGTTTAAACAAGAATCAAGGAGCAGATAATCCCACAGGAATAAATAAGCCAAAAAGACAGTAGGGTATACTTTTCTGCTCTTGGGAAAAGACTTACTTGCTCTTACGTGAAGCCTCAGTAAATTTAATTTGGAACAGATTGTAATCATGTCAGGCGTTTCGGAGAGAATATTAGGTTGGTCAGTTTGCACTGTGGGCAGTTCCTACATATTCAAACAGGTAGATTTCCCCTTCTCATATTGGGAAATTTGGTCCCAATATGAGAAGATTACAGGCTCTGGGCAAGGTCCCGCGAGTGTCTCCAGAATTGTCTTGCTTTCCCCTGTATACTCAGAGTTTACACTAGGTGGCATACAAGGAAAGCCAAGCAAACTCGGAAACCCGATTCTTTGCGAGAAGAATCGATTGGTGCGCATGATGGTGGCTTCAGCTTGGAGGCAGCTGTTTCAAGTGATGATTTTTCTTTTTCTCTCCCACCCCTCCAGGATGAAGTGTCCTCTTGCTAGTACCAATAAAAGATTTCTAATAAACACAATTAAGAATACCTTGCCCTCCCATAAAGAGCAAGACCACGAACAAAAAGAGGGCAATAAGGAACCTGCGAAAGACCAGGACGAGAAAGAAGCCAACTCCAAGCAGCACAGAAGCCACGCCCATAAGCGCAGCTGGCATTCTCGCAGCTCCAGCAGGCACTCGCCCCCGCACAAGCGCCGCACCAAGGACAAGCACGAGGCCCGGGCCAGCCGGCGGTGAGGCCGGCCGCCTGAAGCCACCCGCGGCAGGGGCCCGTGGGAGGCAGGACCAGCACCTGAGTGTGCTTTCCACTGCAGATCCCTTGTTCTTAGAGGCTGTGGGTGGCCAGCAAAAATGACCCTGTCAGAGAAGCAAGTACGAAGGAGTTTTCTGGGAGGCTGTAGTGGCAAATTTCATTACATTGACAGTGTAGCGTACACAAGTACTGTTTTTATTCTATTGTTTGAGAGTCGTTTCAGAAGAAGCAAATCTAGAATTTAAAGTTTTCAGAGATTGTTAAAACCCAGTTTTTTCATGTACTGCACTTTTGGTCATTTTTCAGAATTTCTCAAAAAATAAAATACTTGTAAATCTTATATGTTACTTTTGGGGTGTCCAATTTAAACTTTAGAAATCACCTGGCCAGTGACCGTTTTTATGAAGCCCTATAACCTCAAGGACTGGGAATTTATCTCAAGGACACGAAGTCTGTTAAGCACTGTCTCTTCACTTGCTTTCCTTTGAATGAGCAATGCAGTAAATTTCCTAAGTGGTTATATGGGAGTGCTCTGAATGACCACAGGTTACAGAACTAACTCTGTGAGTTCTTGGGTATTCTCAAAGTTATTCCTTAGATAGAATAATTTTTCTACATTTCATTTTTTGGGTTTTTTTAATATATATAGTTTTTATGCGGTGCTTTACAAAGAACTCTCAATACTTAAAATTAACAGAGTTATTTTAGAGCTGGGCCTTATTTAGCTAAAGACTTACTGACACTACTGTTGGAATAGTTGTCCCAGAAAGCTTCATTTTAAATAAAAGAATACTTACAATAACTTTTCCCACAAGTATCGGTTTTCAGATGTTGTTTTAATATGCAGTTATTTCAAGCCTGAGTTCCTCCCTCACACTCAGGAAAACGTCACTTGGCACTCCCTAGTGCGTGAGAGCAAGAACCACCTGGCCCCTTGGCCTCCTTCCCCAGCTTCCCCACACTTTCCTTGGTTACCCCCAGGTAATCCTGCACCGCAGGCCTTCTCCTTGCTGGAGACAGCCAAGAATGGCCCTGCCCTCAAGCTAAACAAGGGGAGGAGCACATCCAAAACACCAAGCCTTGGGATATTGGGGAGAAATGTGAGTAGCCACCCGCAAGCTGTTCTGCCACTCCCTCAGTTGGCTCCGAGTGCCAGCCCTGGAGCGCTGTCAGCCGATTCTGCCCCTTCCCCAGCCCCAGCCTCCAGGGACCATCCTGTGACTTGGTCACAGAGGCACTCTGAAAACACGAGAGGAATTACTTGCCTCATCTGATTTTATTCAAATGTAGTTAGCATTAGCCTAGATTATTTGTGTTCAATTTGAAGTGTTTTCTATTTAAATATTTACTAGAAAAATAGCACAGTTGTGGGGTTTTTAAGAAATTTTCTTGTTAAGTAAAAATAAAGCTTAATTGTGTCATTTGCCTATGCACTCTGTATCTGTAACTGATCAAGTTCTGTGTCCACTAAAAGGGAATGAGGACCCAGCGCAGTGGCCTGGTGGCTAAAGTCCTTACACACCAGGATCCAATATGGGGGGCCGGTTCTAATCCTGGCAGCCCTGCTTCCCATCCAGCTCCCTGCTTGTGGCCTGGGTAAGCAATCGAGGACGGCCCAAAACCTTGGGAAGCTGCCTCTGCTTGTGGCTGGCTGTTCCTCATCCACAAACTAGAGCATCTGCAGTGCCCAAGGACTACTGAATAAGCAGAGGAAGACAAGTTGAGTGTGAAGAAGTGTGTTTCATGCTGCTAATTGAAAGTAGCAAGAAAGATTCAAATACAAATGCAACTTAACAGATTTCATTTTTTGACTCCATGTAAGAAAATAGTCTCTGGGTCCAGGTGGCTAAAGTCTTCGCCTTGAAAGCACTGGGATCTAATCCTGGTTGCTCTACTTCCCAGGCAGTTCCCTGCTTGTGGCCTGGGAAAGCAGTTGAGGACAGCCCAAAGCCTTGGGACCCTGTACCCGCGTGGGAGACCCGGAAGAAGCTCCTGGCTCCTAATTTCAGATAGGTTCAGTTCTGGCCATTGCAGCCACTTGGGGAGTGAACCAGCAGATGAAAGATCTTTCTGTCTCCTTCTCTATAAATCTGACTTTCCAATAAAAATAGATAAATCTAAAAATAAGGATAAAATAGTCTCTTAGACACGTTAGTGAAAAGCTAGGGTCTCTGCCATTCCCAGCTCCCTGCTGGTGGGTTTCCTGTGAGCTGTCCTGGCATGAATGGGAAGGGAGGTAGGATGGAGTGTGCTGAGTGCTAAAGTGGCTGTGGAATTGAGTTTTCCTGTGATTTTTTTTTTATGCCTTCTGTATTTGCTTCAGATCTACCAGATAGAAATTAACCTCTTCAAATACTACTGAAGTGACTTAAAGGAGACTTATGTCTTGATACTATATTTAATTACATACATGTATGTCCCTCTAGGAAGTCATGCTGTCATCTTCAAAACAAAATGTCTCCGGTAGGTAAGTAGTACTTTTTAGAATTTAGGTGTTTGCTTTTTCTGTGTATTTGAAAGAGTGTCAGAGACGAGGAAAAAGGTCTTCACATTGGTGTATTTCCGAAGTGCCCGTTCCGGTCAGAGTGCTGCTGGGAGAACTGCATCTGAATTTCCCACCTGAGTGCCAGTCATCTTCTGAGATTATATCAGAAGCAAAGGAGTGATTCCTTATGAGCACTCGGAATGCAGGTGTCCCAAGTGGTAGCAAATTTGTTAACGAAACAGTGCCTTCCCCGAAGTAGTGCTTCATTCCTGACAAAAATGAAGTGTCAATTCTGCCCTAAGGAGTATCCTGTGCTCTGGGATCCAATGTGTGGGCTTCTGCTAAGCCACATTGTACTATGTGCATGGTCCATTTGCAAGCACCTTTGAGCCAAATGCTGTGGGGCCTTCCACTGTGTCCTGTGATCATCCCACAGGTCTAGGAAGAAGGTGTCATTATCCACTAGATTAAAACTTTGTCCAAAGTTGTAGAGCTAGGAAGAGGCTGAAATGCTATGGGAAACCAGGACTCTAGTCTGAATTAAAACCCATGTTCTTTCCTCTGCTTTGTGCTGAACTTGAGCTAGCCCTGCCCCCTCAAAACACAGGACTGGGACATCTAGATGCCTGCATGCTCTGTGGATTTGTAATTTATGAACCAAAAGAACCTTGATAACCAAAAGCTTTCCCTGGTTCATGTGGACTCAGCAGAACCGGATGTGAAAGCCTAATCAGAGAATGTTGCATTGAGGAAGTGCTTCCCTGGGGGCTGGTTGGATCCCAGGGAAAAAGTTCACACAACTTTGTGGTTTAATGGCCATGAAAGGAGTGTTTCCATGGGAAACTAATCTTGGGGGAGCTAATGTTTTCAGTTACTTCTTGTTGCTTTGTGGTGTCCACAAGGACAGTAGTTAGAGAGCTTAAGTCTCAGAGACAAGGCCTTGTCACCATAAATAACATTCTGTTATCCAAGGGATTGGACAAACCATGTCAGAAGCCAGCTGGAAAGACGCATGAGCAGGTCAGAGCCCCAGCCCTGACCCAAGGTTCCTCTGAAGCCATATCCTGGGAAGGCAAGTTTGCCAAATGAAAATCTTGTGCTCCACTCAAGAAAAAAATTCTTCCAAGAAGCCTGGTCTTGTGCATACCAAACACCCAAATAAAGAGGTAAATTAAGTGAACAAGGACAACATTATAAGCAAAACTCAGGGACATTTTATGAGTAATTTTTATGTGGGTTACTGTGTTATAAATCTCAGAACACCAGGGACGTTATCATGAAGAGTCTGATAAATGTACATTTGGAGGCACCATTGGTACTTGACCAATGAATTATTTCTCCGGTGTAGCTGAAATTAAAAAAAAAAAAAAAAGCATATGAAACATAGACCCCATTATATATAACCCATTAGCTAAGGGAGCAACTTCCGCTCCAGATAAATGTATAGACTGCCCTCAACCCTGACCCCTGTGCAGAGAACATCCACTAGGTGACCCCTTAGAGAGGCACCGGGATTTCATCACAGGTGTCCACCCCAGCCAGCACTCCCCCAGAGCCCTACTCTCAGACATAGTAACTGGGTTAAAGACCCGCTGGTGCAGCCTCATCCACGTAGGACTTCGGGGTTTAAATGTCAAGACATGGAAATGCACTGTGTACACTGTCCCAACCACAAGCCGTGAAAAGTCATGGATCCATTAGCCTGCTGGGTGATTTTTCAAAGTTCAATACCCATGTACCAAGATAAAGTTAAGACTCCTTGTTTCAGCCTGTGTGCTGTGTGAAGAACAAATCATTCATTTATTCATTCACTCCTTCGGTGAACATTGCAGAAGACCCAGGACACATGACTGGGTCCAGACTTCAACTTTAACTCTTGCCCTCAAAATCTTGTAAAGTGTATTGGTGTCTTTCATATTGAAAGGTGCAGAGTTTTCTTCTCCATGATTGACTTTTCAGCCCTATCTGAGGGTATTCCATTTTTCTCTGTTAAGAACTTTCCAAACCATGTGCTGAAATAAGTGTTTCCCAGGTAGCTCATCTTTGGAAGTTTCTGTAGTTCCTGACTTCAACCTGGCCCAGGCCTGGCTGGCTATTGGGCATTTGGGGAGTGAAGCAATGGACAAGATTGCCTCTGTTTCTTTTTTTCTCTCTTTTTTTCCCCCTCACTCTCCCTGCCTTCCTTCCTCCTTGTTCTCTCTCTCTCTCTTTCTGTTACTCTACCTTTTAAATCAATCTTCAGCTATAAATTTTGTAGCAAGAAAGAGTATAAAAGAAAAAAGAAACTTGTAGGAATCAAACCCAGTCAGTGGCTTCTCACACTGCCCAGTTCTTTTCCCCTCACACCTGTTCATAAGGGCTTCAGGTGACAAAAACTTCCTGGAAAATCCAGTGTACAAGGAATGAAGGGCATATGAAAGAGCGGGACCTAATGAACAGAGTGGAGACATTGGCAAGGTTTGCTATAGACACTGGGGAAGAGAAGAAAGGGAAGATGGACAGGTAAATAAACGATAATTTTAGAAAATTAAAAATAAAATAGATATCATAGCAAAAGAATGGCAATAGAAGACAGAAGCCTTATAACAGATTAACAAAGCTGGAAGAAAAATAGGCCAAACAATGGAGAGACATTTTGCAAACTATGTAAAACAAATGATCAATAACTATTTGATGAAATGTTCAACATCACTAATTATCCAGGAATGAGAAGTAACACACCTGTGAGAAGGGTTGACTGGAGAGATTGACCACTCCAAGCCTTAGGAACAAGGACACAGAATTACCACTTACTGTTGGTGCAAGCGAAAACTATACAACCCCATTAACAGTTTCTTAAAAAACTAACCATATAC